GAATTATTCTTGTTTAAAGTTTCAAAAAAATTTACTTAGAAAAAATATGGTGCGTTTCTACTGACTCACCCCATATAGTTTATAATGCTAAAAAAAAGCGAGACAAACTTTATAACTTAATTAAACAAAAATCAACTGAATTACAAAGTAAATTAAAAAACTGTAATAAAACTAACAAAATGATAATTAAAAATGAGTTGCCAGTTCAAACTGAAGGTTGGAAAAATGTTACGCCTACAATTGTTCAAGCAATGGCTATTCAACTTACTGATACCGAAGCACAATGCCAAAATCTTGCTAAAAAGCTTCGTCTATTACAAGAAAATGTTGAAAGCTTACAAAATAAATTAGAAAATAATTTAAATTCGTCTAGGTAAGTTAAAAATTTAAATATTACATTATATATACTGTATAATATAATTAAATAATATTTATTTTTTGTATAGTGAAGAATCTGAAATGAGCGATTCTGATGAATTAGATTTTTTGAGCATATCAGAAATTATTAATACACTTACTACAAAAGGAGAATTAGGGTCTTCAATATTAATTAGTACTAATATATTTCTTGAACTAATTATAAACCAGCCTTGTTTGACTTGTGCATCAATAGAAATTAGATAGCGAAGATACAAAATTAAAGTTACTGGATTTTTAATCAAAATTATAATGACATGCCATATATGCTAGTCAACAAGTGTATATCAAAATGAATCTCAAAATATGAATTTTTCTCAAGCCGTTGCTGGTGCAGGATTGGCTGCTAGAACAAATAGAGAAGAATTAAAAACAATTTTAGCATTTTGTAGAATTACACGTCAAAGTGGTTATAAGCAATATTTTAATTATCAGGATATAATGCATAATAGTATTATTGAAACTGCTAAAATGAGTGCTAAAACAGGTCTAAATGCTGTAATTGAAACTTAAAAAAAAACAGATAAATATATAGTAGAAAGAAGTTTTGATTGTGCTTGGAGTCATGTATGTGAAGCTTCACAAGCAAGTGGAGAACTTATATTCAATGGATATTTAGAGGGTAAATTTTTATCTAAAACATTTTTATTAACATTTTTACAATAAATATTTTACAGTTAATATTTTTACGGCAAATTTTATTTTTATTTTTCTGTTTTATAGTTAATAAATATTGAAAGTTTTTTTTATATATAAATTTTTATTTTGCCGTAAAAAAGTATTGTGAAGAATAATAAAAAGAAAGTTACAGATATTAAATTTATAAAATAATTATTGTATTTATAATTAGGTTTTATGCATCATCCTATTATTGCTTTTCATATGGTTGAAAAGCCACGAATATATAAAACTAAAAAAGAAAATCAAGTAACAATTAATGAAGGCAATTATAATGGCAGTTCTCAGCAAATGGAACATGCTATTTTAATTAAAAAATTACTCCCTTTCTTATAGATAATCAAATAGTACTAGATATTGGTATTGATAGTGATTTAAATAGTAATAAAACACTTGGAGGAGAAATTGCAGATTTAAAACATAAAGCTAAGCTTGTTAGAAATAAAATAGGTAATAAATATTATATTACTAAGTTATATTTAGTACAATTTTTAAAATTTAAATTACCTTTATATAGTAGCTAATCGTAAATGAAAATTATTAGAGCAACCAATAATGAAATATTATACCAAATATGTTTATGCTGCTATTGCCAGATGCCAAAATCCTACTGTTGATAATTCTACTGATAACAATCTTTTCTTTATACAAACAGAAGGAGTAATTGCACATCTTTCTAATGAGCATTCAAATTGCTGGCCAGAAGTATGCTGGATTAGTACAAATCCAGATATAGAATTGGAAACACCTAATTTAAAATTATATTATAAAAGTCAAAAAGAGCAATTGTTAAATTTTCTTCGCAAAATTATGGAACTTAAAGGAGATCAAAGTCTTATTACTACTATTAGAACTAGTATTAATGAAGCTTTTAACCATGTAAAATTAAATTACACTGATAAAAAAACAGATTATCCTAAATCTTATGCCACACGTCATGCCTTAGCAATAATTTACAATGATGATGGATTAATGGAAACACTTCATATTAGTCGAAAAGCTGCAAATCTTCCAGAATTTTCAAATAATGATAAGGCTAATATATTAAAAATATGGAAAGAAAGAGAAAAAAAGTGTCAATATAATTTAGCTGCAATCGAAGAAAGAATCAACAACGTGCGAACAAAATAGTAAATAAAAAAAATAATTTGAATTTAATCAGGTTAGTAAAAATAACATAACAATTTTAAATAATAAAAATTTAAATTTTATTTTCATTTTTTAGAATTTGATTCCTTATAGCCATTATATACAAGAAAGTATTCAAAACCATACTTATATTCCATCATTTGCAAATTTACTTAAAAACTTTGGTAATGCATTTCTGTATAATGGATGTCATTGTTTTGAGCGTCAGTTTGCAACTGGACTTTGCCTTCTTTGCGGCTTTTATTTGCATCATGATTTGAATAATCTTATACCAAATTCTAATTTTAAAAATCATACATCAAATCACATAACAAATGAATTACTTATTGATGCTGCATTGGATGAGATATTTAAACTACCAAGTTATCGGGAAATCCAAAGAGAAAGTATTCTGTCATTTATCTTTGGTCAAGATACCTTAGCTCTTTTAAGAACTGGTAGCGAAAAAACTTTAATTTATTCAGTAGCTAGTGTTTTATCATCATGATTAACTGTCATATTTACACCTATGAAGTCTCTAATGGATGATCAAATAGTAAGTATTTAAAAAATAATCAAATCCAAAAAAAAATATACTCATCTTTTCAAAATTTAGCATGATCTAGTCAAGCAAGGTATACCAGCTGCTGTACTTTTTGCTACTTCTGACCAACCTCCTGAAATTGTAGAGAAAATTTTTGCAGAAATTGTATCAGGAATTACTCGTATATTGTTTGTAATAGCAGAAAAATATGTAAAAAATCAATCATTTAAAAAAATGTTAAAAAGAATAGAAGAAAGCTGAGGCTTACAATCATAATAGATGAAGCCCATTGTGTCTTGAATTTTAGACATTTTAGGTAAGTTGTATAAATAAGAATGCATTATCTGGCATCTTACTATGATCGTACTAACAAAATAACTCGAGTTATTTTGATAATAATTGAATTATCATCAAATAACTTCGTTAATTGATAATGATGCAATTATCACTAAAAGAACTTGAGTCATTCTTTTGGTTCAGTCATCATAAGATTCCTGATAATACCGTTATTGAATGCTACTCAGCTAGATAATGAAATTAATTTACAAATAATTTCTATTATTAACTGCTTCGCATCCAATAACTCTATATTATCGTGCAAACTTTTATGATTATAGATTTTTTTTTTCTTGTTATTTTTTGTACATTATTACATAAGCACAACAATCTCGAATTAAAACTCAGTTAGCCAAAATGACTTGAAAATCATAATCATAATTGCATGATAACATTAATATTGGATCATGCAATGATAAATATCATAAAATTTGTTCTGTAAGAGCAAATAATTGGCTGAAATGTGCCACTGTGTGGCACATGTTAGCCAACTATTTGCTCCAACAAAACAAATTTCATGATATTAATCATTGCATGACCAATATCTTGTTCTTATTAAAACTATGAGATTATTTATATATTTTCTTTGGCAGAGATGATTGGAGTAAATTAGATTCTCTAAAATCTGAATTTCCCTTGGCACCATTATTGTTGCTAACTGCAACATGTTGTCAACAAAGTGCTAGAGACCTTGCAATTATTTTGCATAGACCTTCATTAAATATTATTCGTAGTTCCATTGTTTATCAGCTTGAAATTGAAATGGAAGTTCAGTTAAAACCTAGAAAAAATGAACTATTCAAAGAGAAAGTTTTGAAAATTTTAGAAACCATATCTCAGAGATGTGCTATCATATATTGTACTACACCCTCGGATTGTGATTAGATAGAAAATATCTTATTAGAGCAGTTCAGTCAGTCTGAAATTGAAAAATATCATGGAAAAATGACAACAATTCAAAAATCCCAAACCAGCCGGTTTTGGAAAGAAAAAAAATTAAAATTTATAGTGGCTATGAATGCATTTAGAATGGGCATTAATGTAAATGATGTGAGATTAGTTTTACATACCACATTTCCTATGTTATTAGATAATTTTGTCTAAGAAATCGGGAGAGCAGGATGAGATCGTATGCAAGTGAAACAAGTGATACTTTACACACGTTCTGATATTCAGCCTCTATTAATCATATTACATAATGGAATCGAAAGGTAATAATATTTGTTAATCTTAAACATATTTAAAGATACTGAGTAATCATATAAATCAAAAAAAAATTTGATCGATCACTATTCCTAAATATATTAAATAAAAAATTTAAATTTCATAAATATATTCTTAGCACAAACGATATTTTACATACTATAAATGATGAAATGGATCCAGTAGAAAGAATACAAAATTTAACTCACCGTTTATACTTAGATGAAGGAATAAAAAAAATATTAGAAATGATAATGTTTTGTGAAAATCAGTATGAATATAGACAACAAATAACATACAGACCATATATTTGAGATGGTGATGACGATGTTCCACAATGTTACCAATGCGATAACTGCAAATGGTATTTACAAGATCAACCAGTTTGTCAAGATGTTAGTGATGATACTATGCGAATCATTAGAATTCTAGAAAAATTATTAGATAAGGCAGCTCAAGAAAGAATGAATTACAAGTTTGTAAAAAGAGAAGATATTGTGGACATATTTATAAAAGCAAATAATATCAATGTACATGATTTTCAACTCAACAGTATTGATGAATACAAATGCCCAACTGGCCACATTCAAACCCGTCAGAATGTATTCTATTTGATCGATGTTTTACTAGTCAAGGGTTTAATTAAACAAGAGGTGGAACTTAAGTTTCGAACATCAGAATCATCGATATGGTCTATAGCTATAGATTTATTGGCATTTGTGATGATGCTGAGGAGGAAATTAGAAGAAGTAATTGGAGCCTATGGTTGAAAAAAAGTAGATAATGATTAATTTTTTTTATAAAAGAAAAAAAATCATATGGTAAAATAAATAATAAATTGGTAATTTTTTTGATAAAAAATAAAGAATCATATAAACAATAATAAAGCACAATTGATTTTTTTTTTTTTGAGTCGATTTCTTTGAATTTTTTCATGTTTGAAAATTGTATCATGGCTTTTTATATGATTAGAAATGTTATATATTGATCTATTTTTAGCACATATGATCATTTGGTTATACAAAAAAATAATCATTAAAAATCGAATATACGTAACTATATGAGATACCCTACTCTTAATTGATAATCCTTCAGTCAACTAAAGCATGATCTTAGTAAAATATAACTCAGATTACTATATAAATTTATTATAGTGCAAATGTGGTGTTCACCCAAGGTAAACTTTTTTCATACTAAATTAATCATTTTTCTTGCTTAAGAAATTTTTGTAAAGCTTGTCAAGATGTATCTAATGGTGGTTAGAGTGTCAAAATTAGCCTGGTAAGTACTGAGATATCTTTAAAAAACCTCTCTTTTACTATGTAAATTTCTTTAAATTTTTTTGCAAACAATACTATTGT